TGCAGCCATCTGTAGTTTGGCTTATGTGAGAAGTACTGGCAGAAAAGCAGCACATTGAAGTTAAACAGTTTCCTTAAAAGGGAATTTTTTTTTTCTCTGACCTGACAATGGTGCTTAGCACAGAGCTCTTGGCTTTTCTCAAGGTATTTTCATTGGGCCAGAACAGTTTGGCCTGGGCTTGCAATCATCTGCTGGCAGGGATGGATGGTGAATGTTAACTGTTGGATCTTTGAGTGTATCAGTGTGGCTCTTTTGCTCCACCCTTGCTAGGAAGAGGCCTGTCCCAAAAATCTAGAGCTAAGGGAGGTAACAGGCTCCAAGTGGAGCCATGATTGGAGTCTGAGGGTCCTGCTTTTCTGTTACTTTTGCTCAGGAGCTTAATAGCTTCCAGGCAAGACTGAGCTGCCTGCAAATCCTGCTGCTCTCACTGGGCAAAGGTATCTCCTTGTCCTCCCAAATGTTTTTTTTCCCCTAAATTGAAGATTTAGTTGAAGCGTTTTTACCACTGTGTCTGTATCTGTGTATCTATATAATTTTTTTACATTTTCATTGTATATCCCAGCTTGTCAGAATGTCAGAATGGATGGAGGTAGCTCTTCTACTTTCTGTTTCTGAACACCTTTATTGAGGTATGATTTGAGTTTTCTGAATACCATTTGATGGGGTTGCATATGTGCATACACCTCTAAAACTGTCACAAACAAAATAACAGGCATATTCACCTCCTCCCCTTTTCCCTGGAGTTTGTTTTTGAAAAAGGGTCTCTCTGTAGCCCCAGCTGGCCTGGAACTCACTATGTAGACCAGGCTGGCTTCAAACTCACAGAAATCCACCTGCCTCTGCCTCCCAAGTGCTGGGACTAAAGGCTTGTACCACCACACTCAACTTTCTCTGACTTTTAGGAGTGGTGTGCATATGCAGTGGGAAATTTGAGACCTATTATCTTAGTTACTTTTCTGTTTCTGTGATAAAACACTGTGAGCAAGGGAACTTATAAAAGAGTTTATTTAGCTTATAGTTCCAAAGGGGCAAGAGTCTGTCATGGTGGGGAGGCATGGTGGCAGAGGTGGCTGGAGTAGGAGCAGAAGCTAAGCTCTTATATCTTCAAACAGGCACAGGAAGCAGAGTGACAGGAGATTCAGCAAGACTTAAGAACTCTTTAAGCACCCCCAGTGACATGCTTGCTTCCTCCAGCATACCCACATCATCTAAGACCTCCCAAAATAGCGCCACCAACTGGGGACAAAATGTCCAAATACTTGGAACTTATGGGGGGACATTCTCATTCAAACCACCATATTCCACTCCTGGCCCCCAAGGGCTCGTGACCATATAAAATGCAAAATGCAGTTAGTGCTACCTTCAAAGTCCTCAAAGTCATTACCATTCTCAATACTATTCTAAAGCCCAAAGTCTCTTCTGAGACTCAGGGCAATCTGTTAACTGTAAGCCCCTGTAAAATCAAAAGACAAATTATATACTCCCAACATAGAGTGTAACTGAATTCACATTCACATTCCGAAAGGGAGAAAGAGACATAGTGAGGAAATACTGGACCCAAAGACCAAAAATCAGCAGGACAAACACCAAATCCAGTAGCTCCACTTCTGACTTCCGGAATTTTACTTCCAAAGGGTTTAGATGGTTCAGCCTCCCAGCTTGGCTGGGTGCAATATCTCTCTCCTGGGCCTGTATGCAGTTTTCCGTGGCAGATGTCTCACAGCTCTGGCATCACAAATGTCGTCTTGGAGTCTCCACTGCCAACCCAAGCTTCACCTTTACAGCTTCATGCGGTGGCCTATCAGGGCCTCCGTTATACAGGGATGCTCCTGCTGCATGCTACCTGGCCTCAGCAGCTCTCTGAAACTGCGGAGGAAGAACTGTGACCCCTTCACTTTTGCATCTTCAATGCCTCTAAAGCCAGCACTAGGTTACTGACATTGCCAAGTTTGGCTGCAAGTTTGGGATGGACCTGCCTGCTTCATCCACTTTTGAAGCTTTTCTCTTAAGTGGTTTTCCAGTAGAAAACCCCTGCAGCATTTTCCTTTCACAAGTTCGAGGCTTAGCTGGGTGTGGTCTTGCCCTGGAAGCACTCTCTCCATTGTTTAAGTACAAATCTCTAGGCCTCTCCTTAATCACTTTAATCCCCTTATCAAATGGATTCTCTCCTTCAGCACAAGCCTTGGGTCCCAACATTAATCTTCCTTGCGTTTTCAATCCAAATGGTACATTCTGCGTTTCTTTCTGCCCCATTTGCTCTTTTTCACTGTAGATCTGCATAATATTTACCATTAATAGCTATGCCACCATTTCTAGTGTGTCTTGAATATCCTCTGCCAAAGAAATTGGTCCACTGCTTTTCAAGCTGGCCTCAGGCAAGCTCTTAAGTTGTGGGCAGACAGCAGCCAGATTCTTTGCTAAAATATCCCAGTTGCTGTTTAAGTCCGTATTTCAGTCTGGAACTACTTTGCTCTCAGCACTACTTTCTTCCAGGCTCCTACTAGAACAGTGCATTGTTTTGCTTACAGCATTCAACCTTTTTTCTATTCCAAACTTCTAAACCCCACTCCAACTTCTGTTCTAGTTTGCCTTCAATAGCCATGACAAAACACTCTGACCAATACCAACTTGGGGAGGAAAGGGTTTATTTAGCTTATATTTCCTAGGTCGCACAGTTCTTCTTCACTGAGGGGGCACAGGGTTGGAACCTGGAGGCAGAGGCTGAAGCACAGACCATGGATGAATGCTGCTTACTGGCTTGCTCCCCTGACCCATGCTTGCTTTTAAGACAGGGTCTCCCTATAGCCCCAGCTGACCCTCCACCCCCATGGCCCTGCCTGGTTCCCCTACTCTGAATCTGGGCTTTGGTTGATGGGCTTGTTTGTGGGGACTGATGCAGGGCAGCGGTGAAGGCCATGTCTGCCTTTTGTAGTAGTGACTGAGAACAGCTTACCTATGCCAGCCCAGCTTAGTGGTCAAGTCTGTTCATCCTCGTTGAACTAGAATTGGAAGTTTCACTTTCCAGGTGTGTGGAGTGGTCCAGATGTGGCAGTCAATGCTGCATGTATTTCTAGACCCAAGGCTCCATTGGGCCCATGCTGCTGTGCATGCAGAAGGCAGTTAAGGAGAGAGGCCCTTATAATCAGCATGCTTCCCAGTAGTGCCAGTCTTAGCTGGTTCTTCTGAACCTCCATTACCTTGGCATGCCAAGAGGACAAAGGAAACTTCCTAAAAGTGACAGCATACAAACAGCAAGAAGGAAGCATTTGTGAAGGAGGGGCTAACCAGCACTACCGCCATTTTAAGTTAGTTGTCTGAGTTGTGTAGTCTGAGCTGACACCATCTGGGCTCTGTCCACTTGTACTTCTCCCCCAGAAGTGCAAGGTTGTGGTCTACTGGTGGCTTCTTATAAAGCCCATCTCTACCTGCCTCCTCACACTCAGCTGACCCCTGGAAATAAGTGGTTCTTTCAGCTACTTAAAAGGCAGAGCTGTGTAATCACCTTGTGGTTCATCCTGACTTCCCAGATGTACCATAGCCTTGCTGGAGTACCCAAGGATCAGCAAGGGTATGTGCGGAGCCTGTTCCTCTGAGGGTGCTCCAAATAGTTGTAATGGAAGTGCCCTTGTCTAGGAGATGGGCTTCACACTCCAAGCATGCTTGTGGTAGCTGACTTTGAGCAACAGCCAAAGGGAAAGTGCCTCCCAGGACATGTAGGACATGAGCAGCTGAGGTTTCCACTTCAGAAGACCAACAGGACAAGCAACAGGTATGAAAACAGGTCATTCCTGGGTCTTCTGTTTGCAGGAGGCCTGGGGCAGTGAACTTTAAACTGCAATGTTTAACAGCAAGCTTTAAACTATAGCTGGTATATTTTGCTCAGAGCCCAAGAACTGGGTCCTGGGGCTAGCATCTGCCTCTAAAGGAGGAAAAAACTTCATTTTTATAGTCAGTGGTCACAAGAAGCCTAGGAGGATTTCATAGAGCCCCTTTGTCCAGCCACTGACAGCTCCCCGGGGCCTTCCTCCTGCCTAAGTGCAGGGTCAGGGCCTTGGGGCTCTTTTCAAGAACTGCTTTCTACTGCCTTCTGAGGCTCAGAGCTAGAGTGCATGTACCATCACTTACTAACTCCACTGAAGAGTTCAGAAGTAACAAAGAGGGAACTTTTAATACTTTCCACATAATAGCCAGGCTGGTGAGGCAGGACTGGGATGTGATTTACAACTAGAATGAATCAGTCCTCTCAGCATCACAGAGATTACTAGGTCTTAATGGCAAATGATCATATCACAGTTCAGGAAGGGAGCCTGGAGCCTGCCACTCACACAGCACATGCCCCCTTTGACTGATGCTGTGACATCTTCCCAGGGAGAGTTTGGGGGATGGTGGAGGCTACAGTGGGTTAAGCTTATACATGTACATTAAACCAAAAACAGGAAAGTTTGGCTTTAAGAAATAAATATATCCCAGCCCAAAATACTGCACTGCTAAGTAGGGCCCACAGGTGAGACACATGTTAACACTTAGCCAGGGCCAGCACATGTGGCTGGTTTTATTCCATTATTATTTGTCATGACTATACACTGAGTAGAATACAGTGGATAAGCTGTACAAGGTTCTCCACCATGGAGAGAGATTTGTGTTGCCACAAACTGTTTCTATCCCCACCTGTGTTGGAGGTCTTGCCGAGTTTCCTGTTCCAAGGAGTCTGAGACTGGGCAAGTGTGAGGCCCTGCCTCAGCATAAGCTCTGAGCAAAAAGCTACCTGCAGGCTAAAATGCATGGCACAGAGAAAGACCCTGAACAGCACAGAAAGATCAGCCTTTAACAGAGGTATGATAAGGCTGACAGTTAAAGATGTAAAATATAAATAGGCACATTTACATCATGGATGTTCAGATGCACAATTCAAATGGATCCAGTCACTTTTCAAAGGAGTCTCCATGAGACACTTAAATATTGCTGCATAAGTAAAGCCAAGAAATAAAACCATTATAAAGATTCCTAGAGATGCATTCCTCCCATGTGCCATTCCACCAGTGCTGCCTGTCTAAAGACCACATTCCCCAACAAAGCAGTCCAGTCTGCTGCCAAGTTTCACCTGGTATGAAAGTCAGCTCTTCTCCAGCACCATCTCTGTCTGAGTTTTTACTACGTAAGTCATCACAGTTGCTCATTCAGAGGCTAAGACATAAATGCCAGTGTTGGAAATACAACTGCAGCCTTTCTAAGCAGAGGAGCCTAGATTCACAGGAGCTATGCAAAAGGGCAGAGGAGACTCACGTTTTGGGCTTAGCTGTTTTATCAAGATTCTAATATATTAGAGAAATCATATGAACCTCATTTCTGTGGATCAAAACCAGTTGAATATTACAATAGCAAGTATTTCAACCTACTATAACTTAGCACTCTACATAGTTTTAAATACATGGTTCCCTCTTAGTATCTTCCAGTACTGATTCTAAACTGTAGTATCTAAGCATAATGTTAAGGATTTATTTTTCAGCATGAAAGTTTAGACCAGTGTTTCCCAAGAGAATTCCATGCCCTGTGGAGACCTTCAGTGTCCTGTGCCCAGCACTTGAGACATGGCTAATGTGACTGAGGAATTGAGTTTTAAGTGTAAATAGACACATGTGGCTATTGTACTGAATGATACAACAACTTCAACATTAGTTCATGTTTAAGGTGTTGACCCAGAATGTAGTTTCTGCTCTACAGAAATACGGGATTTATCCACCTAATATTAAGATGGAAGTAGGCCATGTCTACTCCTGCGATTTTACACTAACCTAAGAGGAAAGCCACCAAATTTACTTTCACATTTAAAGTCTTCATTTTTCTCTTCATAAAAAAACAAGATTACTAAAAAGTCTGCTTGGCTAGCTTAAGGTAAAATCCATCTCGCCCCTTACACAGGTGAATGTGGAAACTTGGCGTGTGCCCACAGGCTGTGTTGAGAGTTCCTGCCCTCTGACCTGCAACACTTGTAGAGGAGATTAGCTGCTTACTTTAAATGAAGTGATGGGTCCAAGATTCAGCTTGGGCTAAATCCAAATAGTGCTGCTTCCTATTTCCCTAAACAGTCATTTTCTTAAAGCTACTGAAGTCAAAAATAGAAACTACCCTTTCAGAGACGGGATGTTTTCACTTTGCTATGCTCTCAGAGAGGACAGGCAGGGAGAGCTGTTAAAATCCAGAGGAGCAGGGCTAGAAAGATGGCTCAGCAGTTAAGAGCACTGGCTGCTCTCGTGGTATACACAGGTTCAATTCCCAGCACTAAAAAGGCAGCTAACAACCATCTAACGCCCTCTCCTGACCTCTCTGGGCATTGCATGACACGGGTGCATTTACATACATGCAGTTAATACATTCATACACATAATAAAAATAATAAATTTTTTTTTAAATCCAGAAGAGTGCTGACTTGCCCTTCAACTATGAAAGCAGACTCCACAGCAACACCTAAAGTCAGGGGACAGTCACCATCAACTCTGGAGTCACTTCAGATCCACAAGCAATCTACCTCATGGACAACACCTCTACCATGCAGCTGAATCACAGGGCTTTTTTTTTTTTTTTTTTTTTTTTTTTTTTTTAAAAAAAAAAAAAAAAAAAAAAAAAAAAAGAGGACGATAAATCTTTCAGAGATCCGCCTGCTTTTGCTTCCCAAGTGCTGGGGCTACAGGCATGTGCCACCATGCCAGGCACAATCACAGGGCTTTTTAAACACTTGAATCTTTTGGCCATATTTGGGACTTTTCAGTATTCCCAGCATATCCTCCATGAAAATTCCAAGCCCCCTGACCCCACTAAAAAAAAAACAACAAAAAACAAGACAGTAATTCTTGAAGTTGTAGTACATATACAACCAAACCAACAGATTTATTTAGCGCTGATAGGCAGCAGCCTTGAGAGACACCAACGGCAGCAATTACCTGGTCTACTTAAAGATGCCCCTGTTAGTGCCTAGCCAGAAAGAGTTATTACTGAGCAAATCACTGTGAAGTCTCATTGGCTGCAGATTCTGCACCCACATGATCTCGCTGTGGAGTCAGCCCAACCTCAGCTGTGTAAGGCAGTGTTACTCTTGACACTCATGAGGCTGAAAGCACAGATGTGCCTCAGAATGAGAACTGAAAATGTTAATACACAAAAAGCCAAACAGAACTAAGTTCTGGAAACTACATATAAAAATTGAATTATTTCAACTAAAGCAGCAAATCAAAAATGTCTGCTGAGGTTTTCTGGTAGAACGAAACATTAGTTGGTGCCCACCTTCAGTAAGTCACTACCATTGACAAAACTAAACCCAAAACTGGAAATTGAAAAGTGCGTAATATAATTAAATCTTGGATCAAGTATTTATGAAAAATTGGAAATGTTTGTCCGGTACAGTTGATGAATAACGATCACAGGCAGTATTAAAGTTTGTCTGATCCAGCTCTGGCCTGGCATTCCACGTAAAATAGTATGTAGGCCTTTGCCTTCACAACGGTCTCCTCATCAGTCAGTGTTACAGTACTGTCATTGAAATGGAACCAACGGCCTTCATGAGTTGCATAAGCTGTGTAATGTCCAGAACCAACCCTATAAAGAAAAAGCAAAAGGTCAAAGGAAAAGACTTCAGATGTCACAAAAGGATCTGTGCAGCTGTATAGTGTTATGTATGTCACAGACTTTAATAAGTACTATAACTAAAGACTAAATCCTATATGCTTCCAGTTTCAGATGGTTGGTTGAGTTATGTTCATCTTCCTCCCAACCCACTGACTAGACATGTAATGTATTGCACTGGAAAACAAAGAATACACTATCAACTGACTACAAAATGAGGGTTTCTAGAACACAAAGCAGATGGCACTGGGTTAGGAGAGAAACTAAAGAAAACTGTGGGACAGCTTAATAAGCACAGGGTCTATATAAACATGGAATACTGAATGCAAGAGTGCCTGTCAGAGTCTTGGGAGCAAAAACCAAGCTTAAGAACTCATCCACCTGCCAGGCCTAGCGGCGCATGCCTTTAATCCCAGCACCCCAGAGGCAAAGGCAGGCAGATCTGTGAGTTCCAAGGCCGCCTGGTCTACATAGCAGGTTCCAGGCCAGCTGCACCTACAGGGAGACCCCCTTGAGGAAAGCAGCTCCCCCTATGACTTGTTCATGAAGGGTTCTCCCATCAGTATGATCTAGCTACTGGTACATGGCACCCTAGAGTCAGCCCTGCCTGAGGAGAGACAGCAGGTAGAGACCTTCATAGCTGTTAGAAGACCACAGTGAACAGCCTCACTCTTCCATTTACTGGGATTCTGAATAAACAACCAAAAATCAGATTCTTTTAAGATTTATTTTTTTGAGGGGAGAGGTTGGTTGTTTTTTGAGACAGGGTCTCCCTGTAGTCCCAGCTGGCCTGGAACTTGCTATGTAGATCAGGCTGGCCTCGATCTCACAGAGCTCTTACCTGCTTCTGCTTCCCAAGTATGGGGATTAAAGGACCAGATTTATTTTTATTTTTAATCATGTATATGACATGTGTGTCTATGCACTTGAGTGTAGATGCCCCTGGAAGCCAACCCTGATGTGTGTGCTGGAAACCAAACTAGGGTCCTCTGCAAGAGTAGAGCTATCTCTATAGCCCCCAAAATCAGATTTTTGATGGGTAAGAAATGACAAAGAAAAGTGCCAGAAGACAAGTGAAATAGTCACTGAGGAATTCTGTGCAGAAAACCAAAGAGAACTTTAAAAATTCTATCCAATACCAGTAGTTCCAAGAAAATACTTTAACCATAGTACAAGAATAGAATGTCAGGGGGGAAAATGGGACTATCAAATAATACAAAACTGTTAGAGTGGACTGGAGGTACAGAGTGCAGTAGCAGAGCACTTGCCTAGCACACTTGGGGCTGTAGGCCTGGATATAACCTTCAGAACCACAAAAAGTAAAATTTTTGAGAAAGGGAGATTGACTTAAGAAATTCACTGTGCATTTAATAGGGATTGCACAAGAGAAAAGAGAAGAAAGTGAATAAAAACATGCCTGAAAACACCAAACCAAGTATTCCCAACCAGTGACTATTCAGGAATATACCTGAAAATAGAATGCCCTACAATGTACAGAGAAAAACCAGATGCCTATAAAATGGGACTCAGACTTCTTCCAGATTTGTCATTCATGGCACAGGATAATAAAATGTCTACAAATTGTGAGGGAAATAATATTCAGTATGGGTAGTGGTTTGCCCAAGTACACTGGTCCACGTTTGAAAGCAAAATAATTTTTTAAATCTGTTTTTTAAATATTTTATTATTTTTATGTGTATCAGTATATTGCCTGCATGTAGGTAAGTGCACCATGTCGTGCAATGACCTCAGAGGACAGAAGAAGCTGTTGGATCCCCTGGAACTGTAGTTACAGGCAGTTGTTAGCTGCCATGTGGGTGCTAGGATTTGAACCCGAGTCTTCTGCAAGAACAGTCAGTGTTCTTAACCGCTGAGCCATCTCTCCATCCCCGAAAGTAAAATAACTCTTAAGCAGACCATAAATTAGATACCCACAAAATACAACCCAAGTGTTCAGGGAAAAAGAAATTTAACAATATTCAACAAAATTAAAAGTGAATCCTAGGGGCTAGAGAGATGGCTAAGCGGTTAAGAGCACTGACTGCTCTTGCAGAGGACCCGGGTTCGATTCCCAGCACCCACATGTGGCTATGAAACATCCTTAACTCCAGTTCCAGGGGAATCTGAAGCCCTCTTCTAACCTCTGTGGCATTGTACAACATGGGTGCACTCACAAACATGCAGGCAATGCACTTGTACACATAAAATAAAAAATATATATATAAAAAAAGTGAATCTTAGCTGGGTATGTTGGTGCACACCTTCAATCCCAGCACTCGGGAGGCAGAGGCAGGCAAATCTCTGTGAGTTCAAGGCCAACCTGGTCTACATAGAGAGTTCCAGGCCAGCAGGGGCTACAGGGAGGACCCTGTCTTAAAAAGACAAAAAAAAAAAATTAATCGTTAGGTGACACAAGTTATTTCATATATTGTCACTTCTTAAATTTCAGTGTGCTAAGAGAAACCATTTGAAGACAAGATGACTCACAACTCAGCATAATGTGAAAAAACAGACTGGCTGTTGTCCATTTTGCTTTCATATGCCTTAATGCTTCACAGCATCCTCAGGATGTTCTTTCACACCAGGGGAAGTTCTGCACCCCTTTAATGAATCTAAACCCATAAGGAGGGGAGTTCAGAAAGAATTAGTGAGTAGTAAGAAAATGTAGGTCATCCTGTACTAGCTACCTGGTATTCCCAACTCTAAGAAGCTAGCTGGCAAACTCACCCAGAGCCATGGTGCACCACTACAGCAGCAAGGTCATACAGGCAGCTTTCTGGACCACTGTTCTCTGGCTACAGAACAAGGGAGAACTGAGTTAGGAGCAGTTATCAAGGATACCAGTGTGTCCTGCTTCTCTGTGTGAAGACTTGATTTAACAAAAAGACATCTTTTCAACATTGCCTTACCTCTAGTAAGTAGCACTTCATGTCTAGGCCTCTCAGTGGAAATTCTACATACGTATCAACTTTATTTCTTAAATATGCTGTCCAGTGAAATCTTTTCAAATGTAAGCACAGCACCTGGGTAGCAAAGATAAGGACAAAGACTGAGTCAAACACCTAATGTGCCTTTCATTAAGTAACTACTCAGTATTTTTATGCCCTATCCATTTTTCTCTTGACCCTTGATCCCTTGATACTTTCTTGCATACCTACCTTAATAATTAAAGGTTTCAGTTTTTACTGAAACCTTTAACAAAACCAATACAGAAAGTTCACAGAGTTTAAGGTTGATAAAGTAACTCATCTGTTAATTTACTTCCATGATTTTTTTTTTTCTTTAAGATAGGGTCTCCCTGTAGCTCCAGCTGGCCTGGAACTCACTGTGTAGACCAGGCTGGCCTCAAACTCATAGAGATCCTCCTGCCTCTCCCTCTCAAGTGCTGGGATTAAAGGTGTGCACCACCATGCCCCGCCAAAAATGCATCTTAACTGAAATTCATCACCTTGGGTAGTTTTTGAATCCAAAACTTTTTTGTGGACTTCTGTTTCTTTTTGCATTTGTGGCACATATATAATTCTGTCTCATCAAGTTCTTCTAGGTCGGTGAAACTGTGAAGACAATCTGAAAGCGAATTGGTTTTAAAAGCATTAAAATGAAGTGCCTTTTAGTGCACTGTAGGAAAAAAGACTAACTTTACACAAAATGACTGTAGTTTAAAGCTCATCTTTTTCAGCTCTGTGACAAAAATGTCAAGTATCCTCAACAAGCAAATTGAAGACCAAAAATGTGCTGCAAGGAAGAGAAACAATGCTTAAGCACCCAGCATCACACCAGATACCAAAATGATCAATCAAAATTGATGATGGTGGTTTTCTTATAACTCATGAGTTTGTCTGTAAATAATAAAAATGAAACCAGTGAAATAGCAGTTTTTCAAGATCAGTTTCCTCTAAATATGTGGCCAGTATGGAAGCCCAAACCCCAAGCTCATAAAGAATATCAAATGTACATCAAATCTTGTCAGTCGTTAACTTAATCTAAAAATTAACAGAGATCACAGGTTAATCCAAACGTCAGTGAATCCTTTTCCAGACAATCTACTCCCAGTACCCTCAGTAAGCCATAGCTGTATTATTTCTCTTTTAAAGATTTTAATTGTTTAATCTGGGGTTTGGCAACTGCAGTCCTTAGCCAAACCTAGCCAGCCTCCTAGCTCTACAGATAAAGCTGTTTACACAACAGAAATGAGGGATCTGATGTTGGTCAAAGCCTAAATTACTTATTTACTGATCGTCTTAGTTTCTTCTTCACTGCTGTGACAAAATACTCTGACCACTATCAACTTTGGGAGGAAAGGGTCTATTTAGCTTACAACTCCCAGGTCGCAGTTCATCAGGGAGCCCAAGGTAGGAGCTCGGGGCAGAAACCTGGAAGCAGGAGCTGGAGCACAGGCCATGGAGGAAAGCTGCTTACTGGCCTGCTCCCCTGGCCCCTGCTCAGCCTGCTTTCTTATGCAACACAGGCCCACCTGCCCAGGGGTGGCACCACTCATAGTGGGCTGGGCCCTCCCACATCACTCATCAAGAAGATGCCCTCAGATATGGCCACAGGCCATTCCAATAGAGGCGATTCCCCGGTTGAGGCTCCCTCAACCCAGGTGTGTCACGTTGACACTAAAGCTATCCAGCACACTGATCCTTTGGAAATGTCCCCTCCTGATGCATTAGTCATTCAGAAGTCTTAAGTAAAATACATGTTACTGTGTGGAAAAATATGAATGCCTGTGTACCCATCTCTCAGCAAGAAACTGTCTTCAATACTTGAGAATAGAAGCCATAGTCTGTATGCACAACATCTGCTAGAGCAGTGCAGTGGAGAACCTGTGTGATCATGTGCCAGAGCTCAGTCAGACACTTCCTGAGCCACTTCCTGATCACAAATTCATGATCTTGACTATAGTGTTAATAATTTGCTTTTCCTTATAGACCATATACATACATGTGTATGTTTTTAAATAATATGTTAGTTTGGTAAGTTGGCCAGCAAGTAGAACTTAGCTGTGGAAGGAAAGGTAATGTTCTTGAACACAACAGTTTCCAGGTTAGAGTCAGCTTTGGCTTCCTAGACTGAGTGCCAGAAAAGCCCCTTTGGGAGGTTAGTAAGGGCGAGATCCAGCAGGCTTCGGTGTGGCCTGGAGTCAAGTGGGGTCAAGACGCCCATGCATTCTTAAATATGACTTTGTTCTGTGATTCTAATACCTAAGACATATCTGAGCTCTCCCCTCAATGTTTACTCTTTTTAAGCCTTTCTCAATCTCCCCTTCTTTCTTCAACTTGATCCTGATAGATTACATTGTCAAGAATGGCCCCCAGGAAAGGTATATTGTTTTAAAAGCTTTACCTTTCCTGGAGCAAGTCTCAGACACTAAGCCCAAACTTGTAAATACAGTGATGCTCTATCCTCAGGGGCCTCCCCTGTACAAGTCTCTGTAGCTATAGAGATCACTGACTACACCGTAGACTGGCTGGCACTTTAACTCCCTTTAGACTGGTTGCTATGGTGCTGGTGAATTCTGAAGCCAAACCCATGGGTGCTTTCATCAGCCAGTATATGTTGCATCATGTAAAAAGCTGCTTGTGGTGGGGTTTGGGGATGTGGGAAAGGGATAAGGAAAGGAACAGTTTCCCACATTGAGAAACAGTGAACACTCAAATTAGGAGAAGAGAACTTTTAAGCCAGGTATGAAAAAACCTCAGGTTCAATAGTGACAGGTTGATGTCCTGCTCCCCCACCCCTGCCTCAGTAAAAGTAAAGAAACAAGACAAGACCCCATGTTTGCCACTCCGTTCAACATAGTACTGTAAGTTTCAGCCAGAGCAATAAGGTAAGAAAAACAAAAAGCATCTAAAATGGAAAAGAAAATTTGCCAATTATAGGTAGCATAATTTTATATACAGAAAATCCTTTAAGGACTAATAAAAACTCAATACTGTCAAGATGCCACTTCTTTCCAAAATGATCTGAGAGTCAGTACAGTTCCAACCAAGATTATTTATGAATAATGACAAGATGACCCTGCTCTCCACTCACCTGATTATCATTAGAGATCTGAGGAAGCTGCAGATAGTCTTCATTCCTGCTTTATTAAGTTTTAGGGCATGGATTTTATAACTGGCAGTCTCACATGAAAGAAACAGTTCAATAGCATCTCCACTGAGAGGAGTAAAGGTGTTTTGTTGAAGTTATTAGATCACCTTTTATATACTATGTAAACTTACCAAAGCAGTAGCAGTTGAAAAGTATGCAGAATACACATTTTTATTCCCTTCAAATATTATGTAATTATAATTTAAGAAATATAAAATAAATCATAGTTCTACTTTCTCCTGAATCACTCCCCACTGGGAACATGCTGTGGTGGTTTGAATGAAAATGTCAGCCCCCCCTCCCCCCCAGGCTCCAAGTATTTGGACATTTTGTCCCCAGATGGTGGCACTGTTTTGGGAGGTCTTAGTAAGTGTGGCTATCTTGGAGGAAGTACATCACTGGGGGTGGGCTTAGAGAGTTCTTAAGCCTTTCCAGATCTCCAGTTGTTCTCTTGCTTCCTGTGCCTGCTTGCAGATGCAGAGTTTAGCTTCCGCTCCGCCTCCAGCCACCTCTGTCGCCATGTCTTTCTGCTAAGATGGATTGTAATTCTGGACCCGTAAGCGCAAATAAACTCTTCCTTTTATAAGTTGCTTTGGTGAGTGTTTCTATCACAGAAACAGAAAAGTGACTAATACAGTCATTGGTACCAGAGAGTGGGCTGTTGGCTGTGAAGAACCTGACCATGTGGGGTTTTGAAGAAATGTGGAAGACTCTGGAAGGTTGGGCTAGAAAAGCGATTGACTGCTGTAAGCCAAGCTTAACGGACCACTCTAGTAGGCACCTGGGAACAATGTAGTTCCAGAAGGAAATAAGGATTTAAGCAGCACTTGGGATATTCTGGCAAAGAGTCTGGCTGGAGTCTGCCCTCAACCAAAAAGCTTACCTGAGGCTAAATTGAAAAGCAATGGACTAATTTCTCTGGTGGAAGAAATTTCAAGACAGCCTAATGTAGAAATGGTGGCATGGCTATGAATGGTGAATATTATGCAGATCTACAGTGAAAAAGAGCAAATGGCACAGAAAGAAATACAGTTTGGATTGAAAAAGAGCACTGGGAAGATAAATGTTGGAGCCTTGGCCTGTGCTGGACAGGATCCCTTTGATAAGGAGATTAAAGTGATTAAGGAGAGGCCTAGAGATTCAAACTTAAAACAATGGAGAGACTGTCTCCAGGGCAAGACCACATCCAGCTAAACCTCCAACTTGTGAAAGGAAAATGCCAAAGGGACCACTGAAGAGAAAAACTTCTAAAATGGATGAAGCAGGCTGGAGTCCACCCCAAACTTGCAGTCAAACTTGGCAGTGTCGCTCAACCTGGTACTGGATTTAGAGGCATGAAAGATGGAAGAATGAAGGGTCATCAATTCTTCCTCCGAGGTTTCATTTCAGAGAGCCTCAGAGGCCAGGCAGCATGCAGCAGGGGTTCCCCTGCATAGAGAAGGCCCTGAGAGGCCATTGCATGAAGCTGTGAAGGTGAAGCCTGGTTGGCAATGGAGATCCCAAGAAGACATTCATGATGCCAGAGCTGTGAGGCATCTGCCAAGACCTGCAGACCAGGGAGTGGTACCAGCACCAAGAGAGATGAGTGTTGCACACAAGAGGCTGAGCCATCTAAGCCCTTTGGAAGTGAAGTCTCAGAAGTCGGACATGGAGCTACTGGATTTGGTGTTTGCCCTGCTGGTTTTCGGTCTTGGGTCTTGTTTTGATCCAGTATTTCCTTACTATGCTTCTATTCCTCCCTTTTGGAATGGTAATGTGCATTCAGTTCCACTGTATGTTGGGAGTATGTAATTTGTCTTTTAATTTTACAGGGGCTTACAGTTAAGATATTTCCCTGAGTCTCAGAAGAGATTTTGGAGTATTGAGACCGATAATGACTATGGGGACTTTTAAAGTTGGACTGAATGCATTTTGCATTTTATATGGTCATGAACCTATGAGGGCCAGGAGGTGGAATGTGGTGGTTTGAATGAAAATGCCCCCCCCCAGGCTCCAAGTATTTGGACATTTTGTCCCCAGATGGTGGCACTGTTTTGGAAGGTCTTAGAAGGTGTGGCTATCCTGGAGTAAACATGTCACTAGGGGTGGGCTTAGAGAGTTCTTAAGCCTTGCCAGATCTCCAGCTGCTTTCTTGCTTCCTGTGCCTACTTGAAGATGCAGAGTTTAGCTTCTGCTCCTCCTCCAGCCACCTCTGTCACCATGCCTCCCTGCCAAGATGGACTGTTATTCTCCTGGACCCCTAGTAAGCTCAAATAAACTCTTTTATAAGTTGCTTTGGTCAGTGTTTCTATCACAGCAACAGAAAAGTGACTAATACACATGCTAACAATTTTAATGCACACAAGTCAAGCCTAATGGTACAGGCTCTAATCCCAGCTACTCAGGAGGCTGAGGCAAGAAGATCACAAGTTCAAGGCCTGCCTGGGCTATAAAGTAAATTCAAAACCAGTGTGGGCAACTTAATGAGACCCTGT